ACATCAGTAGGGTTTCTTGTTTAAAAGCTTCTGCTATTCAGTGGCCCTTGCCTAAACCGTCCCAGATAAATGAATCTTCAAGGGGGAAAGGCCCAAACCAATCCAAACCCAAAACTAGCTCTCCTTCAGAACAGAGCTATTAATCAGTATTGGACAATCAAATCAGCCCCACTCTCAGCCTCTCCACAGCGCTCTACACAGCTGTCTAGAGATGCTGGAGGTTTGGAGCGATGGAACAAAGACTGTCTCCTGCTTCATCCACCCAGGGCAGAGGCCCAGCCAATCACTGGATGGCTTCCCCCACCACAGCAATCCAAAGGAGCCCCTCATGGGTCCTTTCAGCCACAGTGCTCTCCAGTGCTCCCTCCTGCCCTGGCCAGGCAGGATACATTGTTCATTTGCTCCTCTTTACTGAACCTTGTTCCGCTCCTCTATGTGTCTTCCTGCAATGTGTGAGACTGACACAAAACTACTGCTGTCCCCTGGGGTCTTGCAGGAAAAGAGAGACAAGCATTTAATGAGGCCCTCGCAGAGAGGGGACCTTCAATAAACAAATGCTGCATTTGGCAGCTTCCACTTGCTGATTTGCTTAAAATATATCAGGTCCTTCTTTGCTCTCCCTTCCACAAGCTGCATTTCATTATCTTCAAAGAGAGAGGTTGGGGGGAGGAGGAAGGAAGGGAGTTGAGAAAAGCACGCAACCGATGCTGCCATGTTACCTGGCTTTTAGGCTGACCTTGGGCAGGGACTCATCTCAACGCTGTCCAGATCACAGTGACCATCGATGACTTCTCCTGCAAGAGTTCTGGCCATGCAAGGCCCCACTAACAGAAGCACTAACAGAAGCATCATCTCCCCACAGAAAGTACAAACAGGTGGCATCCTCTCTCCCACCGCTGACATCCTATTTCCCCTTCTCCTCTTCTCTAATGTCAAATTTTTATCACCTCCCTTTCAAAAAATAGGCCATAGTCTTTCTTTGCTCTGCTAATGATCTGCTAGTCCGATCTCAATTACTGTAAAATGGAATACATGGATGTCTCAAATTTTCTCCACAAAAGGAGCTGCACTTGACGGGAAGCAACCCAATTTCCACAATTATCTCCCTGACAAAAAGCATAGGCAACAACGATAACCATGGGGCTGTGTTTTCCCGAAGCCGTAAATGAGGACGGACGCTCTAACAAAGGCCATCTTGTTTCTGTTGTTCCCTGATTTGTGAGAGTATTTATTTGAACCATCTCACAGAAATATAAAAATGCAATTCCTCTTGGCAACTCCCAAACAACCAAGCAACATGGAAGGCTGTTTGCACCACTCAGAAAAGCTCCTCTCAGAGCCACTGCTCAGCATCCACTGCATCTCACCTCAGACACCTCCTCTACCACAGACCTGCCTCTTGTGCACACGAGCGACTGCTTCTGAGCAGACAGCACACACGACAGAACCCAAGATCACTGTAAGTAGCGCCTGTCAGTGCAACTGCAGTCCAGCCCTGGAATTCTCACTGTACAGCCTATGTGTGCGCATCCGGGGTACTGGACAAAAAGTCAGGCGGCTCTAACAGGTAACAGGGCTCAGAGATGGGAATAATAGATATGACAGCTCCCATGAATCTCGGGGGCCAGCACGGCCCTCACTCTCACTGGTCAAGAAGCACAAAGGGATGCATATTACTTAAGGCCCTGAAACTCCATGTGGTCACTGAAAAATGGAATGACTCACAACACACACCACATAAGGCTATTATAATATATGACGTGCTCCATAGAAACCATTCACCACATAGAGGGCAGTGCACAGTGGAGGCAGAGAAATGTCCCTCCAAAGGGTTCATTGCTCTCATTTCCAGGAAGTGATAGAGATGAGTTAGATAATGAAAATTTGAACTTTTGAACTCACAGAGTTCAGATTACATACAATGTTTTAGATGGGTAAGGCCACAGAGACACTGAAATGCCATGAACACATTTTGCATGTAGAATCTTTGGGACAAGACAGCAAACGGTGATGGACGGAATAAGGACGATCACAGATGTCCAGTCTTTCATTCTGCAACTCGTCCGTCTGTTTTCTTAAGTGACAAAGGACTCGTGTATATTCACCCTGCTTCCTACACCCCTTTTACCCAAGTCAGGCACCAGCTCCCTGCGCCTGGGTTAGATTCTTCATTCAAACATCAGTTGAGCCCAGCAAGAAAATCTATCCAAAATGAATACAGAAAAAGATAGACATGCGCTCTCTTTCGAGCATGTGGCCTCAATGACGCAGACTCTGTCCATGAGACCAGCACCAGGGAACAGCCCTAGGGCAGCACAACAGGGGCCCAGCAGGAACTTTGTGTCGGCAGAAGCCATGAGGTGGAAAGAAAGTTCATGATTAGCCTGGAGGTCACTTTAGGGGAAGAAGCAGCTGAGGGCACTCAATTGTGGGAGCAAACAAAGTCCCACGCAATGCAAACAAAAGGATTAATTTAGCTTTAGTTCCCAGGAGGCATCCAAGACCTTTCCTGCTAGGAATTCATATGCCAGCCTTCATGAGGACAGACTGCATGGCTGATCCTAACTAAACTCCAGCATGAACTCTTACTAAAGGCCTTGTTGCCAGCAGGGGACAGCCTCTGCCAGGGGGTGGAAGCTACTAGTTACCTACAACTTCCAGCCAAGCACACCTGCTTATCCTTGTCACCAATCAGGGCTGCTCACCGAGGAGCTCACAGGGGAACCAGGAGTACCGCTGCCTTGCAGACTCATCTTGAGATTTCACTCTGTGCTTCCACTACCTCCCCGATCCAGGACCCAACACGGCGGCCTCTTGACATCCTTGAGCTCAGTGTCTACCTCTGTGAAGCCAAGAACTGGAATCTTTTTTTTTCTGGAAAGGCTTCTGAGTGAATACAGAAGGTACCATGTGCTGCACTTGACCTCACAGTGGGAGAGGAACACATTACATAGCATTTGCCTTTCCTTCCATTTCACTTGTATAGAATTATTTAGAATGAAGAGGGAACTTTTTTTCCAGTATTTATCTCTTATACTATGTATAAGGGTTTGTCAAAATTAATAAAAGAAACCAATTACAAAAAAATATATATTTCTGTTGTGAAAAGTGAGATCTGATCTACTAACTTTGCCTGACCCTCAGGCGCCAGTCCAGGATACCTCTCCCAACCCACAACTCAGTCCCCATCCACACAGGAAACCCATGGACAGTTCCATCTAGAGACCATGGATTCAGAGATGACTGGACATCAAATGCCACACAAGTCCTTGCCTTTTAAAACTCAGTCCCCTCTTTGCTGTTTCAGCGGGAATCAGATGTCAAAGCTCACAGTAAGATTATTCAGAAGATTTCATAGTGTGAGGTTTGCGTAAGGGAGACCTCAAAGGACAGTTCAGGACCCCAGAGACAGAGTGGTATTATTGCCAGGCCTGGCGGAGGTCGTCCAGAACTAAGGGGAAAAGCTCTTTACACAAAGCTTTGACTTTTGGTGGTAGACCCAAGGCAACCCAGCGGGAAGAAAGCCAAAGGAGGGCTGGAAAGCAGACCTGACTCATTTCCTCCTGCCGTGGTGCAGGATTCACCAATTCCAATAAGCATCCGGGAGTCCCAAGGTTGGACAGATAGGCGGCCGGACAATGAGACTGAGGGAGTCCACACAGGACAGTCTCTGAGATTAAAGGGAGAAAGTTGGGGAATGGAACAGAGTGTCCTAAAGGGACAAGGAGAAGACATCCGCTCAAAATCCTAGTTCAGACCCTGAGAACACTATGTCACGGTCTCTATTCTTCAAAAGTCTAAGGAACTCCATGCCCACGTGCTTGGGTTGGAGCAGAAAAGGGAAAGAGACGGTGACAGAAGCAGAATGACACTCAGCAGGCTGCCTTTGTGCCGTGGTCTGTGCTAAGCATGACTTACCCCTGTCTCATTGAATCTTTGCTTAGCCTGGAAGCTGTTGTTAGACCCATTTTGCAGCAGGAGAAACTAAGGCACAGAACTGATGTGACATCCAGTTCTAGGCACCACTTCTCTGACAGAACCCAAGCCACCCCAGCATCCCTCACTAAAAGTATTAAGTATCAAATGTTTCCATAAAACCAGCCTGCCTTGTATCAGCTGTCAGTCTCACCTACCTGCATCTGGTCCCACAGTGAGCCTGAAGGCCACCTGAGGGCACAGATGGCCATCTATTTCCCTTGCATTTTCCTTTGTCCCCGTCTTAATAAGATGCAAGAAACCTCCCCATGTATATTAACTGAATAAATAAAAGCGTGAAATCTTTCAAATCTCTACAATACTATTTTTTCTTGGTTTAAAAATAACCTGCTTAGCCAGACACTCAGAAACTTCTCTTCTCTCTTTAAAACAGGCCGATGTTATTTTTTTTAACACACATATCGTATTGAGATTCACAACTCATCACTCCCACAAAAAATACCCCTAGGCTCCTTGTCTATTCAGGCAAGCACTTGCTTGGTAAATTCGGAGAACAGTTCAGATTAATTTCTGCCTGCCAAGAATGAGCTTGCTTGGGTAGCCTCTGCTCATGCAAAACTTTTAAAAGGAATATGGGACTCGCATCCTTGAGGGGGTCCCACAACTGTCCTCAAAGAGGGCTGCTGATGACAGCTAACAAAAGCAACACCATGATTAAAGACGCAAGCATGGCTGTTCTGCCTACCAACAGCTTGTTTGTGTGTCATGTCATGGGACAGGGTTTCTAAAGACCCCAAGTGTCTTTCTAACACTTCACCATTAACTCACCTTACCTGCTCGGTGGGGCGGCTGAGGTGAGCTGGGACAGGCTCACATGGAGGCTGAGGCCTGAGGCCTAAACAGCTTCCTCTCTAGCTCCCTCCTTTCCACGCTCACCTCCCATTTTCCTTTACTTGGAAGACAGCACAGCCGCAGAGCAAGGAAAAAGAACCCAGGGACCCAAGGGAAGGGAGTCTCAGAAGATGGCCCTCTGTTCACAGCCACCATCCTGGTTTAGCAAGTACCTTATCTTTTGAGTTCTTATTCGATCCACATGGCAAGCTGGTCAAGTAGATGATATTGGTCTCATTCTACCTTGGATGGCAAAGCCAAAAGTCTGTGGTTTCTCAGCAAACAACAGCTAAAACGAGAATTCCTGTCTTCTGATCCAAGGATCCTTTCTCATACCTTGCAAATGGCACCTGACTCCTGGGTCTTTATTATACTTCCTTAATGACAGCCTCAGTTCTGAACTTAAAATGAAGACCATGGGGACTAGGGATGTGGGTGTAGGTTATTCCCATCCTGAATGACACTAAGAAAGCTGGGTCTTTTACTCTCTACTCAGCCCTACCCAGTGAGGCCACATCTCCTCCTTCATCTGCAGAGTCAAGACCACACCCCTTCACTATCTGTCCAGTCCCTGATCCCTGGCCAAGGCTATGGGGCTTTGGAGGATTTCTCTCTGGAAGGAACTTCAACCTTTGGTCATTAAAGTTTGTAATCTAAATTAGGAACACTCTTCAGGAACAAAGGAATCAGGAGCAAGATAACCAGATTCACGCTGAACAGCTTCCACAGCCAAACTAGTAAATTAATTACTCCAGGCCATTAATTGGGTTTTCACAAAAAAACAAAAACCTGAGCTGTCTCTGCTAGGTGCCCATTAACTGGCAGCTTAGACAGGGCTGCTAACTGGTCCTGTAAATCCCCTGCAGTCTGTGAGTTTCCAGGCTTCAGCCCTTTAGGTCCACCAAGGAAGAGAGGTCATGTGATCAGCAGGAAGCTAGGCAAGATCTCCTCCCCTCAGAAATTCCAGGGGGAAACACACACAGGAAAATCAGAGGTGAAGAACTAGGAATATCAAATAGGCCTTTGAAAACCTGCATAAAAGCCACAGCCCTTTCCCCAAGCTCAAGTCAAGAACTTAAAATGTAAAGTGGAGATTAAAGAAAAAAAGAGAGAGAAATTCAAAAAGGAGACATAAACCCAGTATATTTTAAAAGCAGAATTTAAAAATTGTCAGTATGATGTGCAGAGCCTTTTCATCTCCTGACTTTTATCCCTCCATTCTGGTGGCACATAGCCAGAAAAATCACACGATAAAATAAGAAGTTGCTTCAAATAATCACAAGGCCTGAGGGCTCAAAAGTACTTCCACATTAGTGTGCCCAAATAAAATGCTCTTGATACTGCTTGGAAAATAACCTGACAGGGACTTTGGTCCCCTTTTCATAGACAGAGTAAAGCAGGCTCTAGGAAGGAGGGCGATCCACCTGGAGCTGCCACCCTTGGAGGTGCAGGGAAGGGCCAGTTAGACCCCCAGGGTTCAGGCTTCCAGGCTACACCGTAAAGCAGGAGAGGATACTGGAAATGGCCTGTACCCAAGGCTTAGAGTTGTTGTTGCCCAGAGGTGGGACCACATCTTAAGAGACTGACCGATCACCCAATTAGAACATTCTGCAGACTCATTAGCCAGGTCACCTGGTTCCCAGTCCATCTCAGCCACCACTGGGGTCCAACAAACCATACAGCTTTCATCACTGATTCATTCCCCACTACCGTACACTGTTAACATCTAAAGTCATCGCTTTGCCAGTAACACTACTCGGAGATGAAGGTGTTTTCAGAAGTATAATAAGAACATAAGAAAAAAACCTTTAAGAATTAAAAAAGACAATCAAACTTTTGCGTACTCTAGAGAAGGAGGCCTCTGTTTCGAACATAATTTCCCCCGAGTCAGCTTCACAGAGTGGCTTCCAGAAAACGTGCTCAGAACCCCAGGCATAGGGAGAAAGAACTCATGGGAAATACCTCCGCATGCTGAAAGCAAACAAAACCCCATAGCCTGAACACATTTATTTCTAATAAAGATCTCTACCCTGAGATAAAAAATTAAATGAAATTAAATAGCACAATACCCATGTTCACCAAGCTGCAGAGCCAAACACCTGGGGAGACAGCTGCACCAGCCCGCCAGCGACACTGGCCACCCAGGGAGGAAGGAGGACAAAGGGCACAGTTCAGATCACAGCTACTGACTTTGAGGAGTGATCATCAGAGGACTGGGGCAGGGTGTGGTCACATGGAGAGACACAGCTAAGGGTCCACCGTAAATGCAATCAGGGCAAGGAGCATGGAGCACAGACCTTGCAACTCCAAATACACCTGCTGACTTACACAGCTAGCAGGCCATTCAAGTGCATTTTCAAGTGGGGTTTTTGCCATGGGTTATTTAGTTCTGGAGTGTAGCTTCTGTTGTGGAGGAGGGAGGCAGCTGGTAAACAGAAATATAAATCAAACATAACATGCCAGATGTGCTAGGAAAGAAGAGGGAGGGGGGCGTATACATCTCACTGTCGGCTGGAGAAGAGTCCGTGTTCAGGGGAGGGGCATATAGCACCAGAGCAAAAGCATTTAAGAAAGTGGGAGTATATGGCATGGAGAAGTTGAGAAGAACATCAGATCAGAAAGCTCAGCTCCAGGGGCAGAAATCACATGGGCCAAGTCCAGCCTAAGGACAGTGAGGATTCTAGTATGGCAGGCTGGAGAGGGGGTGGGTAAAACACAGGCTAGCAAGGTACAGACCAGAGCCAG